GCTGTGGCACTGTGCTGGGAGCTGAAGTGCCAGCACCACAAAAGAGAAGTGGAGACAGAAGCTTAAGCCTCCTTAACTACCTCCTGTTTACTCTGGTTTTGGCCAGTAGCATCTCTCTATTTGGGCTCCCTAATCATCCATGTTGTGAGTAATCTTGAAGCTTTGTGCGTGTTTTGCAAAATAGTCTGGCAAACAGGCAAAAGGAAATAGAGCAAAGTCATTTTTGTGCCATCTCTAAAAAAAAATAAAGGAAAGAAAAGCCTACAATGCATACATACAAAGATTCTAATATTCTTTTTATTTTATTTACAGTAATGTTTTAGAAGAAAATAGATGCCTGGTATAAGCAGATTTAAATTTTTTAAATAATACCAGCGGCATTATTTGCAACAGTTAAGATGTGACTTTTTCCTCTTGCAAGCTCCCTTTAGCAAGAAATAAGACATTTGGAGTTGGATGTTGAATTTAGTGATGAATTCTGTGAAGTTTAAAATACACTGCTAAAGCAGGTACATCCTTGTATTAACAGTTAGGCCTACTTGGACATTTAGGAATGTAATTACTCCAACTGGAGACATATTTTCACTACCTCTGCATGTTAAAGACAAAAGAAGTGCATATATTTTTATGAACAGCTGCTTGCACATTTTTGAAAATCTGGAAACTAGAGGTTCTCTGAAACACTCTGAAAATGTATTAAAAAAAAGCATGTTGCTAAATCTCTCTTTAAGTTCAGTAAATTTTTTTCTCTTATTTTTTTATTTGATAACCATGGAAGATTGGTGGCTGAGTATGAACAGATACACTTTTGAATGGGGGGGGGAAGAATTATAACTGTGACAAAAGCAGTTCAATTCAAGTTTATTCTTAGATACTTAAGTCAATACATTAATTCAACCTCAGTACATTAATTTGTGATAGTTAAAAACAGTCAATGTGTTTTGTTTTATTTGTTATTTAGTTGAGCAGATGGTAATGGTTTTGACACAATTCAGTTTTTTATTTTTCTTCTTTTCTTTTCTTGAAAAAGACAAGGCTCTTTTTCCCACTTTGTCACAGCTGGTTACCAATCAATCTCAATTCACGGTACAGTGATGATAGCACATGTTGTTCAGGGGCCAAATCTGATTGGGTTGCATTTTCAGCAGTGTTTCATATAAAAAAAAATTGTGTCTGTATGGCAGTGACTGTCAGCACACTATTGTACAACTGTCATTAATCAAAACTAGCAACAATGAATGCATTCATATGTGCCAGAGACTGCCAGATTTCACTCAAAATCACCCAATTTCTATTAGAATTTCCTCACCAGCAGTGTTTTCTCATCTGCCTCTTGTTTCTCTCTTTCTTTCTTCCTTGCCAGTCCCCTGCCAGCCCCTTCTTTCTCAGGTAATTAAAGGCAGATCTGCTCTATTACTTGTAGAACAGAAATTATTTAACGTGGTGCCCAAAAGTGGCTGGTTCATATCTGACACAGACTGACTGGCTGTTTAAAAGACCTTTCTCAGCTCAGTCTGATGGCTGAAGTCTAAGCTAAACTGAATGGTGAAGCACCTCTGAATGTTTAACAAAGAGAAGTACTTAAAATCAATTAGATGGCCATAAATATGTGAAGCTGATGTCTGACACCCCATGGTTTTAGCTGAATGTTAGCATTAATTGGCTGGGAGTCAGCAATATTTGGGCAATATGTCACAAGTTGTTTCTTGACACTGCACATATTTTGAAGGCATTGCCTTCTGAGTGCGCTGGCTACACTGAGGAACAATTTAACCACTACGCTCTGGTTTCCTGCCATTCCATGGTCAGTCCAGGAGCCTGGTAACCTCTCTCTGTGATTGGTAGTAGCAAAGAAAAAGGCCCTAATCCTGACTCCCAAGTGTTCAATAGCACTAATCCAGGTGAGAGTGAACTTCCACAAAAACTCAGGTGAAAACGCCTCGCTGTGGGAATACGAGGCTGTGGAACAGAGAGGGGAGGACACACTGTTCAAGGCTGCACAGGTGGATCCTGAACACATATTCAGTCTTCACTCTTTGTTATTTCATGTGGTCCCTTCTTGCACAAACTTCTTGTGCTGCTGTGGATCAGTCTAAAAGCCAGTTTTCTTCCTACCTGCTTCATCTGTCAGAGCTCTTCACTGAACCATGGTGACTTCTGGGGACAGTGCGGGTGGAACAGATGACTGAGGGGCAGCGTATCAATACTTCAGGACAGCAGATGGTTATAATGTCCCATGGGCCCATCTATGTATGAATCTAATTGCTGGATGGCACATTCTGTCAGGATGGTCCAAAAACCCAGTTTGGCCTTGTAGGAGAAGCAGACTGGGAGAGCTGAATCTGTCCTTGAATTAATTGATAACTGGACCGTGAGAGCGACATGTTTACGCCACCCTCCGTTTCACGGCCCGCATGGGAGGTGATGGCTGCACCCTTGCTCTGCGTCCTGGCATGCCATGCAGCTGGCTCCTTCCCCCAGCAGCCTTTGCACAATTTCCATGATTGGCAGGTGCAGGCATAAAGGCTGCCCGAGCCTCCAAGGCAGCTGGCTGGCATGCCGTCACCGGCACATCGGAGAGAGGAGCGAGTCAGCTGCAGCCCACAGCAGACTGGAGGGCCCTGTCCCAGGCCTCCTGCATCCCAGTTCAAGCAGCCCCTCAGTCAGATGCAGTCCTGCTGCCTCTCTGTTTTTCTCTTGGCAGCGCTAAGGGAACCACAGGGATGTTATTTGTCCTATTAAAAAAAAATAATAATAATCAATGACTAATTGTTGCCCAGCTTTATAACTCTGATTCCTATATCCAATTCATATTTATATTACAACTGATCTTAGTTTTCTCATCTTACACGAGCTGAATACAAATTTATGTTTTTAGACTCCTAGGGCTGGCCTCATGTCAAGAAAATAAGCATTTTCTCTTGTCTGCAACTCTGCGGTCACCAAGGCCAAGTAACTGCTCCATCAGTGTGGGATACTGTTGTCACATCCTTGAGATTTTCAAGGGGGGAAAATTTGCATTTTCTCTCTTATGTAAACAGTGATTTCTGTTTGCCATTGACTAATGCAGCACAGCATGCAAAAATGACATAATTTGTGAGCATTCAAGAAGAAATGTTCCTCATCTGCATGTGGCTGTTGAATGTAGTTGCAATAGACCTGTAGTGCTCCAGAAACGGCATGTTAGGTATTTCTAGCATCATAACTTCCCCCCCACCCAAAGGCATTATACTGACAAAAGACACATCCCTACAGGTTGCTGAAGTTTGCCATGGCATCTCCTTATTCTTCCCCTTGACACATCTCTTACTCGTTACTTAAACCTGAGGTACTGCATGTACATACAGTTAAGTGTAACTCCTAGGAAAACGGGTTTTGTATGTGGTTTTGTTAACTCTGACAGAATGGTTAACCTCAATTTGGTCTTTTTAAAATTATTTCTTGCTAATTAATAGAATGGACTTACTGGATGCAGAATGAAGTTGTATTGTAGTGAGTGTGAAAAGATGTCTTGGCGATAATGTTGTAATCGATATCTAACTAGACCTAACAGAACCCTTAAATGCTTCAACATATAGGACCCTTCGAGTTAAGATGTTTGAAAGTCTGTTAGCATTCAGTGTTCTCTCTAGAAATGTATATTAAAGAAACCAATAGCAATCTGTATTATGTACAAAAAAAAATATGTTTCATGTTCCCAAGGCATTTAAAAATGCTTACAGAGCCTGACAACCTTCCTCTAAGTAACTGCATTGCATTCTTATTCATCAAAACTTTTAAGGGTACTTTTCCAAATGAACAAGTCTGTAAGTTCTTTACTGTATAGCAAAGAGAAGGTAAATCAGTCCTTCTGAAGTTATGTCATGATTGTGAATGCCGTGAGAAATAGTACTGGCATCTCCTGAAGTCTTGATCTTTCTTTAGTTTCATGCTCCTATTTCACTGTTTGGTAAATGAGAATCTGAAGCCAACTTCAGGTTCAAGATGACTTAATTTATCGTAGGCTTACTATGTGAAGAAGAAATGTTGTTGAAAATAATTTTACAAGAGAGTATTTCAAGATTAAAATATCCATACTGGAATTCAGTGTTTTCCTGATTTGGGGACCACCAAATGCACTTCATAAAAGATGAAGTCTCCCATTGACTTTAATGAGCTTTGGATGAGAGCCTAAAATAGTTTGTTAAGCATGACTTCTGCAGGATAATAACAATTTAACTGAAAATATTTTTCTGGATATAAGCACTTTAAATGCCTCAAGAATGAATGTTCGCTGCATATTGGAATACTTTGTATTAATTCACATTTTATACATCCTCATAGTTTTAGAATTATTTCAGCAGGAGAAACAAAGAAATGGAAAAAGCATAACTGAATTGTTTCTAATGTGTTTTAAGAAAGAGAAAATGTTATTGTCCACCCTTAATGAATCATTTTGGGTTATTTCTGTGAAACTGATAAATCTGCTTTAATGTGCCTCTTCAATAAATGTCACATTCCAGAGCTTGAATATATTTTTTATTGTCTGCAATTGGGTAGTGTGAGATCCTACCAACATACTCATGGTTCCCTAAGGGATTGCTGCTGTAGGGAAAAACTGTACATAAAGGGAAATTTCCAAATCAGCAAAAGGTAAAATGTGTAGCTCACACAGTTTAAAGGCATGATAAACCTGAGCTGTCATGTATTGATAACTGATGTCTGATAGCCTAATTTTATCTTATTGCTCTAGATCAAGGACAAAGTGAATGATATTATTAATAAAGCCCTAATACTGAGTGAACATAGCAATACTAATTTTATGTAAAGTTTCTAACTAATGCAGAGTGCAATAAAAATGTCACGAAGATTAATGCTTGTCGGAATTATCTAATGCCAGATAATAATTTATCTTCCAAAGTTGGCTCCAAGATAGATTCAGAGTGGCGTAATCCAGGTGGTAGTTTTTGTTCCTCTCTGTTGTCCACAAAACGAGTTTTCATCCTTTTCCTGTCACACAGGTATGACATCAAAGACGACTACACTCTGCGCATCAAGAAAGCCATGAGCACGGACGAGGGAACCTACACTTGCATTGCTGAGAACAGAGTTGGAAAAGTGGAAGCCTCTGCTACCCTGACTGTGCGAGGTGAGTGTGTCCTGTATGGATAAATTGCTTTCTGATGGAACGGGCCACATCCTCCCCTGGCATTGTTTGCGTTTCACGTACCCTTGGGCAGTTGTGGGTGCACGGCAGTGATTTACATCACTGGTGAAATCCTGGTCCTGGTGATATTTCAGGTAAAATTTTAATTGACTTCAATAGGATAGGATCTCCCTGCAGTTAAAGAACTGTGTTTTTATTGAAGAACATATACATATATATGCTTAAGCAAGCACTACATAACCGTGGGCATATGTGAGCCATCAGTTTAGGCCATTATTCACATTTCTTTCTCTAAGAGGTACAAGGAGTATTGTAACTATATCAATGGCAAACATAATGCAGATAATATTATTATGTGATTAGCTCTGCTATAATTAAACTCTCTACCATTACCCTTTATCTGCAAGATAAACCATAGCCAAAGGAAAGAGAAAATCCCAATTAAATTTTGTAAGTATTGCAAGGTAAAGACTAACATATTCTCTCCTAAAATATTTGTGGTCTATAGTACCCAGTTTGTTTATGTGCTGCTGTTTGATTTGGTGAGGAGGCTTTAAGGCTGGTAGAATAATGAGTTGACAAAATATCTTTTGTGACTGTAGATATAGACATGCTAAAGATTAAGGGGAGAGAAAAAGTTTGTAGGCTAATATTTCCATATGAGTAAACAGAATATAATAGTCATTACTACATTCCAAAAGATAAGCAGCAATTTGGCACAATGGATATCATGCAGACACTATTTCACAGTTTAGTGGTGCATGCTGACGGTTTTCGGTAGAGCTGTGAAAGGTTAATAAAAACATTTTTAGCTTTATCTGTCCTCCTCTTTTCATACACATTAAATCAAATGTTCAAAGTCTCAATGGATTGCTTTATTAGAACTAGGGTCAACTGACCCAAGAGGCCAGCTTCCATTTCCATCCATTTAATGCATGGACACAGTTCAGTTTAATTTGCTGAATTCAAAGGGACAAAAAAAAAAAGCACCAAGTGGCTTTGAAGGGGAGAGATCTTAGTATGTAACAAAGAAAAGAGAACATTGTGATAATCCATCTGCTGAAATACTACCTCAGTGTTCACTTTAGACCATGGTGACAATGCAGCTCTTCCCGTTTTAAGCTGAAGAAATAGGTTTACCTGCTACATGCTTATGTAAGAGATTGTTCTTCTGTATTGTGACATGAGAAAAACAGTCACCACAGCAAACTCCCAGAAATAGTCTCACCCTGTTCCTTTGTCACAGGCAGGATCACAGTATCCCATAAATCTGGTAACCAATTCACTAGCCTTTAAACACTCCTGGAACTGTGTCCACTGTGTACATTACTGGAGCAAACCTTTCAGATTTGCTACCCAGACTTGTGATATAAACAATAGTTAGAACCAAGACAAAAAATCCTTTGAAATCACCCAAGCTTGAACACGATGAAAAGTGAAACAACAGAAAAAAACTCGAGGAAATACATAATTTAATTGATTTTCCCACAAAAAAGCAGATTTTTATTGTCTTGTATATTTTTTCCTCCTGGGTTTGTCATGTATGGTCAAATACATAATGTTTATCCAACTCTAAGGAAGCCATGATATTATAAGCTTACTAAATGTTCAGGATATGACAGAAAATGAGAAAAGTGAAGAAATTCACCAGAGAAGTCTGTTACTCTGAATTTTCTGAAAACAAAGGACTAGGAAAACTCCCATTGACTTTAAGGGGACCATGAGCAATGGTCTTTTTAATTAAAGAAAGTCTTAATTCTGAATTCTTCAACTTTTAACAGTTTTATCTGACACTACTTTTACTGTAACCACTTGTCACGCAGAGGAGCAAAACCACTTAGCATTTCAAAATTTACCTTAAGGGTGCCTTGGTCCTCGCAGGTGCCAAGTGGTTGCATATGGCAACCTGACAGCAGTGCAGTCCTCAGCTCCCAGTCAGGAAGGTTGAATTACACTGTCACAAACACCAGAATCTGAGGTCTGTGACTCAGACTTCAGGTCCTCCCTTGGGAAGATGCAAATCACTTACACCTTGTCTTTCTGCAGAAGAAGGAATATGTTCATAATTCTAAAAGCCAAAAAGTGTTCCAATAGATGATGGGTGAGAAAGGGCAGCAGGCTTGAAACAGTTAAATGAAGTGGGTATCCCAAAGTAGGGATAGAACCATGGAAAGATTGAGAACTAAGAAGGTCCTTGCATGCTCTGTTACTTCTGAATCTGCATGTCTTATGTTTGACCCTAGCCTGCACATAAGCACACAGACTTGGTAATCTTCTTAAAAAGAGAAAAAAAAAAAATAAAAAAATTGTGCTGTTGCTCAGCAATGTGTAACTATTTCTGCTGCTGAAACAAGGGAAGCTTTGCCTACACAGATGCAACCTGGGGTCAATTTTATATACAACTTTTCAGCTCTTCTGAAAGGGATGTCTATATTTTATTAACAGGGGGACTGGCAGCCCTCTTCCCCAGCACAAGTATAGTGAAGGGCTGTCGCTATAATCAAGAAATCACTTGTTGCAGCAGCAATTTTCAATCTTGATATCAACCTGAAACAGTATTAACCTGTCGATCATTCAGCAGCAATTTTTTTAGGAAATAGAAGTTACCTAAGGAGTGATTTGGGAGGTTCTGGGTTGAAGTCCCTGTGGCCATTTCAGCCTATTTGTTATATTTTCATCAGCAGTGTCAGTGAGGAAAAAAAGAACCTGTGCTTTAAGCTTTCATGTCCTTATTGAATGAGAAAAACTGTCCTGGGCTTTCTGTAGCCCTTACTGCTGTACAGACTGGTCATGCTTAAAATTCAATTGGTGTTTGACTCAGAAAGCAAAGGCCTTGCATCTACTGGCATGACATTCGGCAGTGTGCGGCTTAAATTGATGTGTTCATCGGGATCTAAAAGTTTGTGCTAATGCAATGCAATTTTTCTTTTATCAGGCATTAACAATGATACTTGATGATGGCATGCGAAGATAATAAAAATGTTTCTCAGAGAATGGTTCCAGTCAGCTTGTTCAGATGCTATGCTCAAGTAAATGGGATAATAGTGGCACGTGACTGAGCGATAACAACAGTAAACATTTTACTCAGGCTGTCATTTGAGGGGTTAGCAATCATGGTAGTATCCATAGTGGAAGGTAACATTACACGTCATGCATTCTGACAGATATTCTTTTCTTTTTTTAATTTCTTTTTTATGTTCTCACTACACCATTGTAATGTCAACAGCTCGCCCCGTTGGTAAGTAACCATCCTTCTATCCATTTTAGCATGGCTTCATGCAATGCTTCATCTTTCATTTGCAGCAGCATTTAACTGGCTGAAACGAGCAGCCAGCGCTTAATAGTCGTAACTGTCTAACACCAGGCAAGTGATTTTGACTGACAAAGTGCTGTTTCTGAACTTTGTATTTTCTGCTGTGTCGTGTATAAACTCATTTTGCCAAATCACCAGCAAGTGCCAATCAGAGAAACAGATGTGGGTGTGGTGATACTGAGCAAAAATCACTCATTTAGATGTTTTTAATGGTCTGTTTATGGGCCTGGTATAAAAGCCATTGAAATCAAGAGAAAGGATTGTATTGACTTTGCTGAGCTCCTACCAGGCCCTAAACGATCAGCTCATCCTGCTTTTATTGCACAGCAGTAATAGCACAGGCTTTGCATGTCCCGTCTTCCTTGTGTCTTTCAAAGAGCTCTGAAATGAAGTGGTCCTGAAATCAGAGAGGGGATGGAGTAGATTTTCCTGCTTCTTAAGAAAGTTCATCACTGATTTTTGCCTTTGGGTCATCTTGGAGTGCAGTTTGAAATGCACTGTATAGGATGCAGACTGTTTTGAAAAACAAGTCCTGAGGAAGACAATCTCTGAATTTTTTATTCCCACACTGAAAATTTTCCTATGCCTTTGAAATTCTGAAAATGTACAAAAAATACAGCTAAGCATAATGGAAATTTTGCAACTGTCAGTAGCTGAAATTCACTTTTGGTGTTCAGAAATATCCTGAACATACTATTTAATTTTCTTTCATGGATGGTTACTCTGTGCCTGTATGGATTTAGTTTAATGAGTTGCACTGCTCCTCTGATTTTTGTAGTTTGTGTTTAGATGTGTCTTGTCAAATAATATGGTTACTCCGATTTTTTTGGATTAGTGTAAAAAGTTGGTACTGCTGTTTATGGAGATTGCTGAGTGGGTTGGTCTTTATTTATTTAGTCAAAACTTTTGCTAGATACGTGTTTGACTGAAGTCTGTGAGTTTGAAGTCATCTCAGCTCTTCACTGTTCCGAGTTTGGAGGAAGAAAGGTTAGAATAATTAAAAGATAAAATCCAAGTTAGACCTCTTTTTTCCAGAACTAAGGTGATCCCATCTTATTAGCTTCCTTGGACTAGCAAACATAGAGCCAAGCCAAATACCTCCACAGTCACGGCATGGCTTATCCAAGCCTGGAGAATTCCCTGTACAGAATAGAAGTTCACTCTTCTCCATTTGGGGTTTTGATAGCAAGCTTTAAATCCAAAAATCACTTCTGTATTACTTTGGCATTATGCTGGTTCTTAAGAAATTAATTCCCAAGAGTTGTAATAGTGTAAAAATGGAGTAAACTTGCAAGAAATTTTTCCATTTCTTAGAAAGTGCAGCATGAACTTAGTGTGCTTTTAAGATAAATCTTTCATGTCAGGGGATGCTGCTTCTTCATGTACTAAGAAATGCTAAGGATTAAAACTGTTTTACTTCTAGGTATTTTTCTCACTTTGCTGACTCTTAAAAAAAAGGCAAGAAAAAAAATCACAAAGTAGAGACCGTTTCAGGCTGTGTGAAAGCCATATAAAACAGATGACTGGAGATTCGCAAGAAAATGATAGGTTTCAGCAGTGTTGATGGTGTCTCATTTCAGAGCACTGATTCTTTTTTAACGCTTTTCAGGCCATTGAGTCATCCCTGATTCCATCTCCAAAGCTTATTCAGCAGCTCTTGGTCTCCATTTACTTTATATCCAGGTATATGATCCCTTTATGTGATCATACTGAGCTCAATTTCACATATTCCCTGCTTAGGCTATTTTATTTTGTTGCAAGAGAACATTCTTCTTTTACATCATTTATTCAGGAAACTAAAATTAGAGTGGTCGATCTGAAAATAATTATCACATGGGCACATGGTCTTTATCAAATTATTTAATTTCCAGATTATCTTTGTGACTTGTGAAAAGATTGTTGAGTAACTAAGTCCAACCCCAAAGATATCTGACGTATATATGACTCCCATACAAGTGTGTATGTCGTGATTGCTGTGTAGAAGCAGATCATTGTATGTCATTCACTTTTATGAGATCCTGTACCTCCAGACAATGATAGTGTCTACCTTTATTGACATTTGTGCTTAAGTACCTGAAATCAAGCTGATTTCTACAGTTCATAGCTCTGTTTCACTCTAGAACAGGCAAAGCAGGCAGCTACCTAACCTGGGTTTTTTTTCAAATTTAAAGCCTGGTAAGGCAAACCAAAGTAGCTTCCCTCTCCACCAAGAAACCCAAGTGATCCTCTGTTAAAGTTGTCATTTGACAAGAATGGTGAGTCGAATAGCATTTGTAGCATTGTTTTATTCAGGAAGTTAACTGGAAGGCAGAGCAAAAATACCTCTCCTTGCCGAAAGGAAGCTAAAGCAAACACTGCTTAATGTTATTAAACTCACAGCTCTCTAGGAGATGACATTTTAACAGAAGTATATTTATATATTTATGTATATGTTAAAGTGTAGGGGAGCCATTTAAAAGTTTATATTCTTTTGTGACACCAGAGAATTATCTAGGTACTTCTACCTTTCATCACTGTCTCTAATTCAAAGCAGACATGTTTTGTCTTTATTGTGCTTTAAACAAGACCAAACAATTCTTTTTTTTCCAATGTCTTGTCACTGAAGAACGGAGAAACACATTTTTAATGTTGCAGGATTGTAATCCTTGTTTCGAATGGAATAATTTTTGTTTTCTGGTGAGTTTTTGTCTGTTTCAAATATTTCTATTTTGATATTTTTATTTAAATTTCAGCTTGAGTGAAAATTCAAGAGTGGGGTTGCCAGTGACCATCTTTGGTTCAAGCAGTTATTAACAAGTGGTATATACTATATAGATAAAATGAGGTATGGTTCTGCTCGAGGTGGATGGCAGCTGGTGAATTTAACAGCTCTATGCCAGATTATTCATCATGGTTGAATTCGCTGCTAGGAATAAATGCGTTGCCCGTTTCTAAAATAGATGTTCTCTTATTTATAACCTTTTGAAAAGATTTCTGACAGGATTCGCAACAGATGGGTTTAGGAAACAAGATACTATCTCTATTTAGCCCTTTTTCTGGAGTTACTTCACTCATTAGATGGATTTTTCCAGATGAATTTTCTCACTTTTGCATTCTGCTGTATTTCTTATGGCAGCTGGGCAGGAGAGTAACTGCTAAAAGAAGAACAATAGTTGGGAAGAGCCCAAAAGTTTCATATGTTCCCATTGACAATGACACTCATTTTAGAAGCAGTTACATACTGCTTTGAGACAGAAGACCTTCAAATAGAAGATCTGTGAAGATCTGTCTGATGTCCCAGTTACTTTTTTAATAATCATTCAAAAAATCATTCAGATGACAGAGTGCTACTCAGTTTGCAAATTGATTTCAACTAAGTCCGAGTGAAGTCGGTTCTTTGCATTTCAGTTGCTTTGCAGTAAGTCAAGTTTACTCAGTTTGTTGTCATATGCTATAACTCATCTTCCCAGAAAGAAGTAACTTGCAACAAAAAGCTGGACAGTTTTGCCACCTGGATAAAAATCAAGTATTTGGAATTAACTAAGGAAGTAAAGGGAGACCAAGTTACAAAATCTTAACTTCCCTACCATGTTGGAGAAGAGACAAACAGATAAGACACCTGCTAGGAATTTTCCAAATTTCTCATTAATTAAATATAGTCTATTCGTATTTAAGTGCAATGTGACTGATGCGTTTCATTCCGAACTGAGAAGTTTTCCCAACGTAAATCAGCCTGGCATGACTCAGTGGTCTATTAGGGATAGTACAGCATGAAACATAATAGAAAGGGCTGTATATTAAACAAGGGTGTATTAGGTGTTGTGGCTAGAAATTACATTGCTCAGACGGTTCAGATTGGTAAGCGAGAGAGAATTCTCTTTACTCTCCTTCATCCCAACTCTTTCAGGGAAAATCTATATAGGATGAATGCTCTTTATTTTTATTACTTTCATGAACATATCACCTTCACTTGAGACACTGAGGATATATAAAATATCAGTTATGTCGATTGGTGTGTGACAGAAGAGATGAGATCATGCTTGGCACTACGGTGCCATCTTTCAGTGGCACAAATCTCCAGTCTATATCAAAACGTGCTGTGTTGCCTCTCAGCTACCACATACAGAAATTTTCAGAAGAGGGTAAGGACACCAAGGGACACTAGGCTTTTTGGATCTCTTTCTTCCTTAAATGAAAGAATAAGACATCATAATTGTTTAAAAAATAGGCAAATTCTTCAGATTAAAGAAAAAAGGTTGCCATAAATTGGAATTCAGATTTCTTCGTATACTGGTAAGAGATTAAAATATGGAGCTAACTTGTTCTGGTATTTCATAGGCTTTTAAAGAGCAATCTAAAAATCTTGAAGTCCTTAGCATGTCTACTTTGACAAAAGTTTACTAGCTGAACTTAAGTTGAATCATAAATTTCGGATGTCATAGAAATAGACTTTGCAATGTGTGGGCCAGAATGGCTCTGCAAGTGGACACTGAGCACATTAACCACCAAGCATTTAAGTGCTGGTCCACAAAACTCAGCTTCATTTCCAACTCCTCCAAATCTTCTTGGGTTTGCCAGAATGAGGTCAAAACAGAAAAACAGAAGATCTGATGGAGGATTCTTCTTCAAAGATAAGCATGAAAAATGACAGTGTATGTTCTTGAATTACTAGCACGTCATACTGTGGCATCCTGCTCGTTCCACTGTGGCTCCAGGTGCCAGTTCTCATGCTGTTTCTCTTAGAGAAAACCCACTTACAGCAAATGCAGGAAGTAAGTGATCAAGCACCCTATTTTTATTTATTTTCTTTTTTTTTTAATTGCTGAACTCTAGCTCGGGAAAATTTTAAGAAGTTTAATGCATACATTTTTTTAATTTTGCCAAAACATGCTCAAATCATGGGAATTATTTTCTTACTTCAGTGGCTTCTGAGTATCTCCCTAAGT